CCATCGGCGGCCCTCATGAGCGCAGCGGGTCTAATGAGAGCTCCCCTTTTCACTTTTTCCGCTCTTGGCCAGCCGCGCTGCGCCGCCTGCGCGGGGCGGGGATCGAGCTGGCGCTCGAGGATGCGGGGCGTGGTCGCGCTGCCCCGAGCTGGCGGCTCTCTCCTGCCTCTGCGGAGCATCTGGTTTTCGCTGCTCGAGGGTTCCCAGGGACGCGCCTCGCGAGAGTCTCCTGGGACGTGCCGTGAACGTCTGCGGGGGGCCGTGGTGGAGAAGAGGGTCGCCCTCGAGGTGCGAGACGGCCGACCGACGCTGCCCCCCTGGAGCTGGGGCCCGCGAGACGAGGCTCCGCCACCCGCAGCGAATCATGTGCGCCGTGCTTCGGGAGCAGATGTCTTCGGACGGTTTCGACACCCTACAGCCGAAACGCTGAAACAAGGAACAGTCTGGATTCGGAAGGGGCTCGATGTTCTTTGCGTCCTTCCGTGGTTGTTCCTCCAGCCCGTCGCGTGCACCCAGGCTGTTTTGAAGCCAAAGAGGGGCTTCGTTCCTTATTTAGCGTTCCTTCTTTCAGCAGCCCGACTGTACTCCTGGATCGCATCGGCCGATATTGTCCTAAATGTCGGGGGAAACTCCCAGGCATCCAGAGGGGGGGCATCCGTTCGGCGTTCGCCCGCTGCTCGCCACGTGATACTGGATCGCGTCCCACGGGTTTCGCGACCCCCACTCTGGTCCGTGTCTTCTCGGATGCGCCCCGGCGGATGTTCTAGGTGGTCATACATGCAACGACTCCTCTCTCCACGACTGGCAATGCCCGAAATTCAGGACGCTTGTATCCCAGACCATAATGAAGCCGCTCCCCTCGTGTCCTGTCGAGTCCTGGGGCCTGAGTGACCCCTCCCCCTCGTCTTTCCAGTCGATGGTCGTGGGATATTTCTTCAATAATGTTATACGTTCTCTGGCACACAGCCGCAATCGACCTTTTACAGAAGTGGATACCCTCGATTTACTCCCACTAATCAGGTGGCAGTTGGCGCGGTCCCCGTCGGCTGTGGATCCATGAAGCCATTCGCCCCCCTGGGTACGCTGCAGGAGGAGGAGGGCGCGGAGGAGGAGGAGGAAGAGGAGGAAGAAGAGGAGGAACGAGGGCGCGGAGGAGGAGGAAGAGGAGAAGGAGGAGGAGAAGGAGAGAGGAGGGAGGAGTGTCGTTCAAGCCCCAGGATGGTATCCCCTGCTGGTCGACCGTTCCCTTCCCTCCCCCCCAATCCTCCTCGTTCCCCCTATCCCTCCTCTCTTCCCTTGCTCCTCCCCCCACCAGCGTGCCCCCCTCCCTCCTCGCCCTGCTCCCTCCCTCTCCCCCCCTTTCCTTCTCCCCCCCCCTCCCCCCGGCTCTCCTCCGCCCCGGCCCCGCAGCGCGTGCCCCGGCCGCGGGCGCCCCCGCGCATGCCCCCCCGCAGCCCCTTTGGGCTCGGAGGCCTCCTCCAGCCACGCAGGCTCTTTGCGCGGCGCTCCGTCCGCCCCGCCCACGTCCTCGCAGCGATGCTGGCGCCGAAGGGGGTGGGCAAGGTCGGAGGCGCACGCGCGGCCATGCCGGTCGGCGTCGTCCAGGCGCGGGCTTCGGGCCCGGGCCCCGTCGGCTCGAGCAGGGGGCACGCTCCGGGCGGCTCGATGCTGAAGGGGGGGCCCGGGCCTTTTTGGGGCGCATCTGCACACAACGCGACGGCTGCTCGTTGTTGCAATGTTCGGAGTCCGGAGGCCGATTCTGGGCCGCGGGACCGCCAGACGCCAATGCGGGATGGCAGGCCAGTTCTCTTGGCATCGCTCGGACGTGTGCATTTTTCTCTCGGCGAGGGCCATCGAGGAGCATCCTTGATCATTTGACAAAAAAAAAACCACGCACGAAACCGAAAACAACACAGGGAATGGACGTCCGAGCGATGGCCAGAGGCCAGCTCTTGGTTAGAAATCGAGGGCTCCTGTGGACGGCGCCGCGAGATGACCCTGCCGGAACACCCTGATAGCAGCAAAGGTGAAGAGGCGGGTCAAGGAGTAGGAGGTCGAGACGCTGCCATGTGCACAGCTCTGTTTCCCTTGCAGGGGTCGCGGTTGTCCAGACCAAGGATTCGGCTGGCATTGAGGGGAGGCGATGTCTGAAGAACTGGTGGCGAAATCTCAGGCGAAACTGTTGCCGGACCCGGCGTCGTCGGGCTCCCCGTTTCTCCTGCGGGGTTATTTTGTTTGAGTTTTGTCATTCTCAGAGCCCCGTAGGGAAACGCCAAAAGGAGACCAGACCCTTGAATGTCTTCGGCTTATAGCTCAGGATTCCAGCGGCTGTTCGGGACGCTTCGGGGACTCCCCCGAAAGCTCTCGGCGAGGCGCAGCCGGTGGAAGGCATCCCGAGGCTGGAAAGCTGCCGAGACCGACGAAAACGCTCGACAATTTGGGACCCAGATTTTGGAGCATCGATGATGGCACGCTAGCAGTCGAGGACCTACAAAACGCCCCTGCCCTGGTTTACGAGGCGCTGTGCGCTGAAACTCCTTTGGGCCGACAGGGTAGACCCTGCGTGATGTGCGGCGTCCTGGTGGCTCTCTAGGATTTGGGGGTTCCGAGGAGGTTTACAGACCAAGGACTTGTAACCCAGGATAGGGCCGATTTTTCAGTCCTCAAAGTAGGGAAAGGTCCAGTCGTCGGATGTCTGGATGGGAAGGATGATCGATCGTCTTTGGGGGTTCCGAGGAGGTTTACAGACCACGCACTTGTAACCCAGGGTAGGGTCGTTTTTTCAGTCCTCAAAGTAGGGAAAGGGTCCACTCGTCGGATGTCTGGATGGGAAGGATGATCGAGCGTCTGTCGCTCCTGCGCTCGTCGGAGGCCCTGGCCGGGGCTTCCGCGGCGGGTGGGTCGGGGCGCGCCTCGAAGGAGGTTGGCGAGGGCGATTTCTGGCAGGGGTCAGGGGACCGAGTTTTTTCAGGAGGGAAAGAAACACACAGACACAATGAATCGCCGACTCCCAGGAGAATATCGGAGAATATGGGATGGGAAAATATGGGGAATCCTGTTTTTTGTGTCTATTTATTTGTCTGTCCCTGGGCCCCTTCATTTTCGAAGGGAAAACGGATCGAACATTGCGCATTGCACACTGCAAGTTCGGCGCGGAATTCGTGGCGCCAGGGAGGGGCATCCAGCGCTCATCCAGGACATTCGAGCGGAGCTTCGACAACTTGTAGTAATAACCTAGCGGCGTTCCGCGATAGGTTTTTAATAGTGGTTGACCAGACCACAGAAGAGTCCCACAGGGGGGGGGCGGGGAGCTCGAGGACGCCCAGTTCGGCCGCCGCTTCGCCTAAGACTGCCTCACAATGTATTCAGGAGTCGTGTACTCGCCTCGCTGCCGGCTATTTTTGTTTTGGTCCAGACGGTCACGGTTTTTGCTAAACTGACTACTCCGACGGTAGGACTCCGCATGATGACATATGATAATATTTTCAGCTTGGCTGGGGACCTCCCCTTGCTCCCTCATCATCATCACCGTCATCACCGTCACCGTCATCATCATCATCATCATCATCATCATCATCATCATCATCATCATCATCATCATCATCATCATCATCATCACCATCACCACCACCACCACCATCATCACCATCACCACCATCACCATCACCATCACCATCACCATCACCATCACCATCACCATCACCATCACCATCACCATCACCATCATCCTCATAGTTTTGGCTCGAGGGTTTTGGGTGCGTCAGCCAGGCTGACGCGATTCCTCGCGTTGAGACTAGCGCAACACGGTGCGCGAATCGGCTAGCCACCATCGAGCCCGCCGCGATCGCCAGCGGGCCAGCCTGCATCTGGCGGCCTGCGCGGGCAAGAGCAACGTGCGCCGCCTGGCGGAGAGCGCCAGTCTCCTCGCGGGCCACCACGGCTCCTCACCCGGGAGGGTGGCGGACCAAGGCGGCGCGGGCGGCGGCAGCAAGGCGAGCTGGGACTCTTCCTGCGAGGCCAGGGGCAACTGGGAGTCTCGGGCTGCCTGCCGTGAGTGCGGCGCCGAGCGGCCGCCGTGGGCGAGGCCACGCTCTGCCTCGGCTTCGGCGCGCGGGCATCGCGGCGGCGCTGCGGCTGGCACCAGCAAGGAGGTCAAGGCCCTGCGGCGCGGGACGTCCTGGGCAGCTGGGACGTGCGGCTCCTCGGCGCAAGCTGAGCGGCCGCGGGCAGGCATGCCAGTGCCCCACCCCCCTACGCCCCTCCGGAGGGCCGGGGCCGTTCGCAGCGCGGCGTCTACAGAGCCGCCCAGCGGCATCCGGAGACGGCCCTTGCCTCCACTGCGGGGCAGGGGCGTGCATGGACGGGGGCATTGCCTTGACGCCGGCGGTTAGAGGAGGGTTTGTTGCTGAGACTCCGGGTTTGGGATCCCGGGCCCGCTGGGGGAGGGGCCGCGCGACGCGCCGGGTTCCTTTGCGCGCGGGGCTCCTTGACGCTTCGTGCCTTCCTCTCTGCGCCCCAATCTACGCTGGTTGTGCAGCGATCTGCCGACGCCTGGTTGCTGGCTCCCCTTCCGGGGGGGGAGCCTGGGCATAAGGCGCGCGGATCCCCGCCGGTGTGGTGCGGCTCGCGCAGGGGATGCGGCTGCGGAGGGGGGGGTCCCGTATTGCGGGGGGTTCGGTTCGTCGTCGTCTTCTTCTTCGGGCCCATACTCGGCTTGTATAGCTTAATTCCCGCTGGCACCTAAGCGTGCCCCTTACATGACTCATCAGCTTGACAACTGATATTCCTGACTACGGCTGGCGTTGGCCACCGCCTTTCACACAGACGGGGGCCAGGACCAGTGCGGCGGCCAGTAGTCTCCTCCTCGGCTGCTGGTTGCCCTGCTTGGCTTTTTCACAGTTGATTCCACCCCGGGGTGGCCACGCGGCGGCTCCAGGGTGGTCTCTTCTTAACCCCATTCGACTTTTCTCGGCCGCCGGCCGAGGGCGTCTACGGCATAGGCACCGCGTCGCCACCAACAGCAACGAGGCCCTGCGGCGCGAGATCGACGGCCTCAAGAAGGATAGCAAGGCGCTGCAGCGCTCGGCCTCGACAGGTGCCGCGGGCGCGGAGGAGGCGCGCGGCAGCGACAGGGTGGCGCAGCTGCGGGGCCTCATCGCGAAGCTGGAGGCCATGGGCAGCTCGGGCGAAGCCATGGTGTCGCTCCTGGCGTCCTGCCGCAGCGAGATGGCGCGTTGTCAGGAGGAGCTGCGACTGGCCAAGCCGCCGCGCGAGCAGATGCGGGCGACCGACGCCAAGCTGGGCGAGTTGGACAAGCGCAGCGTGGCGAAGCAGGAGCAGGTTGCCAAGCGGAAGGAGGCCCTCGCCAGCGCCGAGAAGGAGCTCGAGGCGGCGCTGGCCGAGCGAGCCGCCCTCGGCGCGGAGCGAACCAAGGTCGCAGCGACCCGCCTGGCTGAGCTTGCGTCCAAGGCCGCTACGCCTGCGGAGCGAGGGCGGCTCTTCCTGGACTCTATCGGCAACCTCAAGGCCGCGGTGGTGGGCCAGGTTCCCTCCGAGGTCGCGGCCACGGCGCAGCTCGTCGAGGAGTGGGGCAAGCAGGAGGCCGCCACCGTCGTCGCCGCGACACCCGGGCCAGGCGGCGCAGGAGGCGGCGCCAGCGCGGCGCCCGTCGAGGTCTTTGCCAGCCAGGGCGAGGCTGACGCCGCGGACGCGGCGATGGACGACGCTCCGGGGTCGGCCCTGGCTGCGGATCTGGCGGGCCCCGACGGCGATGGCGACCGCCCTGCCTCGGGCCTCAGCCGCGAGAGCGGCGCCGTCGCTGCAGCCCGCGCCAAGGCAGGAGGTGACAGCCGCAGTGGCAGCGGCGGGGTCATCACGAGAAGCGACAGCGGCGGCGCGCCCGTGCCCCTGCGCCTCGACGCGCTGATCCCCGCAAGCGGCCCCGCCGCCCGCGCGGCGTCCGAGCGCGCCGCCGATGGGGGCGGGCCCGCGCGGGGAGTGCGGCAGCTGCCCCAGCCGCCCCGAGGGCGCAGCCCCGAGGCAGCCAGCCTGGCAGCGACGCGCCCGCCCGAGGCGCAAGGACACCTAGATCATGACGGTCAACGGGTCTGGCTGGGGCCCGCTCGCCCACCGACCGCTGGCAGGGGGAGGAGGCTGGCGCTGGGTTCGTGGAGAGCCACCGCGCGGACGCGTGGCTCGCCCAGGAGGCGCACCTCCACGCGCGCGGCATCGGCGCGCAGGGGGCGTGGCGCAGGCGCGCGGGGGTGAAGGCTGTCCTTGCGCCTGGCGCGGCTGGCAGTGGCGGCGCGGAGGGCGCCCGCGCGGCCTCGGGCGGCGTCGGAGTCGCCGCCCTCGCCGCGCGCGGCCTGGCCAACGCCGGCGCGGAGGGCGGCGCGGCCGCGTGGCCTGCGGCGACGGGCGCGGCGTCGGCGCGGCGACGGACGCGGTCCGCCGCGGCGGCATCGCCCTCGTCTGGCGAAGGTGGCAGGTGGCAGCGGGGCGCGGGATCTCGGGGGCCAAGACGGAAGCTGCGGCCTCCGACCCGCTGGCGCGCGACGAGGTCCAGGCGGCGCTGAAGGCCAGCACCCAGCGCCCCGAGCGCCAAGCCGACGAAGGTCAAGAACCAGGCGGCGGACCTCTGCTTGGACGGTCTGGCCGCGGCGCGGGCGGCGAAGAGGCGTCGCGCCAAGGCCCGCGGGCAGCTTGGGCGGGCGGCGGGCGCGCGTCGCCAGTCCATCAGCGCAGCCGCGCGCCTGCTCGTGGGCGGCCTCCAGGCCCGGGCCACGAGCGAGCTCGAGCAGTGGCGGTCAGCGGCCGGGTCGCTCGCCTTCGGCGGCGCGCGGGGCCGCTCGCTGCAAGTGGGCTTCGCGCCGGCCGCCGCGCCCTGGCGCGACCCTTGGTGCTCGCAGGCCGAGCAGGCGCTCGTGGCGCGGGGCCGCGGGCTCGCGCGGGGCCACCCCGACGCCGCCAACGACGCGATGTGGGCGCGGCGGCGCGCCGCGGAGGATCGCCTCGAGCAGGGGCCTGGCGCCCTGGCGGGGCGCGGCCCCGCGGCGGCGGCGCGGCTCGCGCTCGAACGGCTGGGCTGGAGCTCCACGGCGATGCGTCGCTGGGCTGCAGGCGGCGGCCCGACGCTGAAGCTCGAGGGGATCGGCGGCCACGCGCTCCGCAGGCGCATCCGCGACTCGCACCAGCGGTGGCTCTTGGCGCGGGGCCGCGGCTCGCGAAGAGGACCTCGAGCACGCGGCCAACGGCCCAGCCGCCCGCGGACTCCGACGGCTGATCGCCGCCAAGGCGAACCCCGAGCAGCGGGCGCGGTGGTCCAGCGCCCGCAACGCGGCGTTCGGCGGGCCCTGGCCAGTGGCCCGCCGAGCCGCCCTCGACCCGCTGCTGCGCCGCGCGGGCGCCTGCTCCGCGGGGCGCGGCGGCCGCGGCGCGGTGCGGCATTTCGCTTGGAGGTGCCCCGCTCTTGCAGCTGAGAGACGCGAAGCCATCGCGGGCGACGGCGCTGCAGGCTATCGCCGACGTGGCCGAGGCGTCAGACAGCGAGGACCCTCGCTACTCGAGGGCGCCCATCCCCGACCAGGTGGCCGCCCCCCCGCCGCCGCTGGAGACCGAGGAGGCGCGGTGGAGAGGCGGCCACGGCTACGCGGCCCTGGCGGGAGCCAGCATCCCGTGCGCCGACGGCTCGGCGATGCGCGGCAAGGCGGGGTCGCCCGAGGTGCGCGCTGGATGGGGGCTCGCGGCGCTGCTGCTCCGCGGCGCGGCGCGCGGCGCCTGGGACCGCGCCCCCGCCCACCTGCCGAAGGAGGCGAACGCGGGCGAGATCGGGGGCCTGGAGACGGGGGCCAGTGCAAACGGGGGTCAGCCAGGGCGCTGGATCCTGCAGGATCCTGCGAAGACCCCCTCTGGCTGACCCGGGTTAGCGAGCCGCTCGTGGCCGCGAGAGGCGGCCGCGCAGATTGGCTGGCCCAGGTTTGCGAAGACCTGCGTTGCAGTTTTTTTCCTGCATCGCAGTTGTTGGTTTCCTGCTGACCCGGGTCTGGATTGACCCGGGTAAGAAGAAATAAGATGCCCGGGGAGATCCTGGCCGCGGCCCGCGCCCTGCGCTGGGGCTTGCCAGGCGCGGATGGCATCTTCGAGATTAGGACGGACTGCGAGCCGCTCGTGACGGGCTTCGCCGCGGGCAAGGCCTGGTGCCGTGCGCGGGGCCGCCCGCGCCTGGATGCGCGGCGCGCGCTCTGGCGGGCCATGGGCGGCTTCGGCGGCCAGCAGCACGTGCGGGCCACCTCGGCGAAGGGGCGTGCCATGTTCAGCTCGGTTCGCGACGGCTACACAAGGATGGGCAACTACGAGGGCAACCGCGCCGCGGCATCGCCAAGAAGGGCGCAGAGCTCCGCCCCCACCCCGCGCGGCGAGGCGGCGCAGTTGGGGCGCCGGCCTCGCGGCGGCCGTCGGCGCAGACGCTGGCGCGGCGGGGCCCGCCTGCTGTGGGCGCGGACGCGGGCGGCGGGGCGCCGCGAGCTGCCGCGACGGCGAGCCAGGCTGTAGACGCTGGCCCTGCGCCGCGCCCGGCACGGCGGTCTCGGACGCGAGCGGGGCGCGCTGGCTCTGCAACGCCTGCGCTGGCCGATCGGACGGCGCGCCCGTCCACGGCGGGCCGCCTGGGCCCTGGGCGGCGGAGCGAAAGCGCCAGGCCCCCGGCCAGGAGGCCGACGCGCGGCGCGGCCGCGCGCGGACCACCGCGAGCGCGGGTCGACGAGGCGCCGAGGGCGCGGGAGCCGCCGTCGCCGGCGCGACGGCAGCGGCGGCACCGGCGGCCCAGACTCGCGGCGGCGCCCAGTTCGCCGACGGCGACGCGGACCCGGAGGAGAACGGCGAGGCCGCGGGCGTTGAGGTCGAGAGCGGCCGCCCACGCTGGTGGAACGTGAGCTTCGACGAGTCGCGCCGACTCTGGGCGATCGGCGAGGGGCCGCGCCGCCTCGTCTTCTGCGCGGTCTGCCGACGTTGCGCGGACGGCCCCCGCACGGTCTCGCTCCGCGGGCCGCGCGCGGGAGGAGCCAGCGCCCCGCCGCGCTGAGGTGGGCGCGACAGGGGCGGCGCCCCGCGCGGGGAGGCGCGGGCGCCGAGCTCGGGGGGTCGGCCGCCCCGATCCGCTGAGCCGCCCGCGCAGCCGCTCGCGAGGGCGCTGCTCAGAGGCGAGGGGCCCGAGCTGCTGAGCGCAACAGGGCGCTCTCCCCCCCCCCCTCCAAGGCGGGGCCCGAGGGCTCCGCGGGCGCGCGCGTTGATTTAGAACGGTTGCGCTGAGCACCGCTCCCAGACTTTTATGGCTTTACTCTATCATCATCAACGCCATCATCATCATCATCATCATCATCATCATCATCATCAGCATCATCAGCATCGTCCTCGTCCTGCTGCCTTCTCCTCCTCCTCCTGCCTCGTCCTCATCCTCTTCCTCCTTCTCCTGCTGCCTCCCCCTCCTCCGCCCTGCTCCTCGTCATTTTCTCCGCCTCCTCCTCCTCCTCCTCTTCCATATCCTCCCCCTCCATATCCTCCCCCTCCTCCTCCTCTTCCTCCTCATCCCCATCCCCCTTTTCGTTTTCCTTTCCATCTCGCCTGTTCCCCCCGTGCACTTCTCCTTCCCCCCCGCCGCCGCAGGTGGCGCGCGCGTTCTGCGATGGCCGGGTCGCGAAGCCGCCGGGGCAAACCGTCGGGGCAGCCCCGCGGGCTTCGAGCCGGGCGCCGCCGCGCTCAGGCGAGGGGCAGATCGAATCCTAGCTCTGCCGCGAGCTGCTCCGCCTCAGCGGTGGAGCTCGCGGCCCGCGCCCCAGAACCTCTCGCGAAGGCGGTCGCGAGACCGGCGCGTTCCGCGCGCGCGTGGCGCGGGGGGGCATAATAGGGGAGAGGTGCGGCCGCCGCGTTCTCGCTCGACATGCCCGTGCGATTTGCCGCGGCATGGCCCGCTCGGATTCGAGCGCGGATGCGGGGGCCTCGCAGGGAAGGGGCCCCCGCTCGACACTTCCTCGCGCTGCGCTCGCAGACGGGGCCTCCGCTCGAGATTCTTCCAAGGCCTGAAGAACCCCGAAGCTGGGGCGCTCGGATTCGAGCGCCGAAGCGGGCGCCCGCGCGGGGCGCGCGTGCGCGGTGGGGGGGCGCGCTCAACAGTTCCTCGCGACTCGCTCGCAGACGACGCCCCCGCTTGAGATTTCTTCGGACCGTTGCAGGATTCGGATGGTCCGCTCGGATTCGAACATGGAGGTGGGGACCGCGTGGTGTGTGTGTGTGTGTGTGTGTGTCTGTGTGTGTGCGCGTGCGCGTGTGTGCGCGTGCTTGTGTGTGCGTGTGTGTGTGTGTGTGTGTGTGTGTGTGTGTGTGTGTGTGTGTGCGTGCGTGTGTGTGTGTGTGCGCGTGCGTGTGTGTGTGTGTGTGTGCGTGTGCGCGTGTGCGTGTGCGTGTGCGTGTGCGTGTGCGTGTGCGTGTGCGCGCGTGCGTGTGCGCGTGTGCGTGTGCGTGTGCGCGTGCGTGTGCGCGTGCGTGTGCGCGTGCGTGTGCGCGTGCGTGTGCGCGCGTGTGTACGCGTGCGCGCGCGTGTGCGCGTGCGTCTGCGCGTGCGTGTGCGCGTGCGTGTGCGCGTGCGTGTGCGCGTGCGTGTGCGTGTGCG